ATAGGTCAAAAATAAACAAAACATCCCAAACTGTTGAATTCATAATTCATGCTAATGAAGCATTCCCAACATTAATGCATAACAATACAAAGTTACTTTCAACACAAAACAGCAAACAACTTATGTAGATTTTTTACAAGATATGGCTTTTGGTTTAGTGTATTCCATTTGACCTTGGTTCTCAATCTCAGTTCTTTGGATAACCTAGGCCAGTGATGGCGAACCTTTTTATTGTGTGCTGAAAGCGCATGTGCCTGCACCCACAATGCAATGTGCCCCCACCCCCTGTGCTTGTGCGTGCAACCCACCTTAATCACTTTGCATGCGCGCGCCACCCAGTTTATTTTTGGCCCATTTGAGGCCATTTTTGCCCTCCCGGGGGCTCAAGGGAAGCCTCTGCAGCCTTTGGTGGCCGAAAAATGGGCCTGTTTCGGCACTTCCCATTTTGGCACTTCCGGTATTTCCGGAAGGCTCATTTTTTGGCCTCCAAAGGCTGCAGAGCCTTTCCTTGAGCCTCTGGGAGGGTGAAAACGGCCTCAAAACGGGCCAAAAATAAGCTGGGAGGCACGTGCATGCGCAGTGCAGATAAGTTTGACTGGGGCTCGCATGGCCGCACAAATGGCTCTGCATGCCACCTGTGGCACGTGTGCCATAGGTTCCCCATCATGGACCTAGGCTTTGTGGCATCAAACTGATAGCATATATGTTTGCTGTTGTTATCATTGCTCCAATTTTTGATACATTTTAGGAAGCTTATATATAAGTTCATTGCTGAAGGTATGCAGGTCTCTTTTTTGTACAAGACATACTTGACAGAAAAACTGAAATGTCTGTGAGATAATGGCTATTTAAAATTATCCCCTTGAAGCCCAGTACAATACTACTCAATGAATAACTCATTAATGATAATAAATAGCCTGCTAAAAGCTGAACTAAACAGCTCATCCTTCATAGGTGACAGCCACTGCCATCTATGTACCAATATAATGACTTTTAGTATGTGTGTTTGTAAATTAAATAATGGTTTGACAAACACAGTACGTTACTTTTGTAACCTAAGGTTAATTTCAATTTATCTAGATCCCTTGTTAATGTGTCTCCTAGTACTAGGGAATGCATTATCCTACTGTATATATTAATTTTCTTCCTAAAGAGTATTCATGGAAGGCAGTTGGCAATTTGTAAAAATTGAGTTTATGAGACTTAATTATTAAAAAAGAAATATTAGCAATAAAGTTTGAAATTGGTATTTTTATGAGTGCATTTCACTTGATTGATTTTTCAAAATTTATAGCCCAATCCAAGACTTTGGGTAGGATACAATAAAGTCCAAAGAAATATACTTTTAAAAATATGTGGACAATAATCATAATAAATGTTAAACAGGCATCAAAGACTTCGTTAAATTAATAGGGGTCAAAGGCTTACTGGAACAGTGCTTGTTTTCATAAACGCTGTAAAGTAGTGGCCACATGTTTTTATTCAATTAATTACCACTTTACCATTAGAAAAGAAAGGAAAACCAAATGTAATAGTGGTTAAGATGCTTAACTAGAACTACAGTAAGTTATCTTAGTCTGCTTTTAGCTATGGGTGATTCTGGGGCCTAGTCATTCTCTTTCAGCCCAAACTCCTGATGAGATTGTTGTAGGAATAAAATGAGTGATCCCTATGTAAGCCACCTTGAGCTCCTGGAAGAAAGGTGGCATATACTGTGTAACAGATAAATTAAACCAGTGGAACCACCTAACTTTTTACTATTTATATTTACTGTTTCCTAGTATGATTTGATTGCTTATTGTACCCTATGACTACCGCTAAGTGTTGTACCTTATGATTCTTGACGAATGTATCTTTTCTTTTATGTATAATGAGAGTATTTGCACCAAGTCAAATTCATTGTGTGTCCATCTACACTTGGCCAATAAAGAATTCTATTCTATCAGTTGGAGTTTGCATTTATTATCCATTACCTCTTCAAGTATAGCAAGCAATTGGGAAGGGGGACTGGGTGGGTGGATGATCTGTATTTAAGATTGCTGTATCAGAAAGATCTTTCGAGAGGGATACTGTTCCTTCTGCACTTGTGTATCATCAGTTCAGATTATTGGGTACATGGAAGATTTTGTAAAACCTTATTCCTTTTTTTTTTCTGCTGATAAAAAAGGGGAAGCTTCACTGTTGCACTTTCCTTTCTATAGTAGTGTGGTCTGAAAATGGGGAGTATGTAAGAGAAATCACAGGCATGGAGGTGAGGGAGAAGAGGATGTGTGGCTTATGCATGCTGGTACTGGAAAGGTTTGGTTCTCTGAACCAGAATCTGCTGCAGCTCTAAGTTTCAAATGCATATTCCAACCCAGGTTGGATCCTGGCTTGCCGTCAAGTTTAGGCAGAAAGCAAGGTGCATGTGTTGCAAGTTAACATATAATTACATGCTTTAGATGAGACAATTAAAAGCGTTTGTGGACAAGATTTTAAATTAAATGATGGGCAGACAATATTCCACCCACTTTTTGATTTAGGATTTTTCTATCTCACATTTCTATGGTAGAATCAAAACTATGATTTATATGTAAGTTTGTATTTTTAAAGTTGATAATATTATACCAATATAAATTGGTTGAATAGATGGTGTCCTTAATACTAAGTTTGAGATCAGTTTGTGAAGTACAGAGAACTTATTAGATATTTTAAAAACAGATTAATTCTGGTAGCCCATGGGCCACTTTTATCTGCTGGTAGTACAGTATATTCTGGAAAACTGACTCAGAAACTTGTTTAAGGACTTTAATGCTATACTAAATCACATGTAAGGAATTCATTGAAGTGATAGGCTACAAACTTTGCCTGTGAACTAGCATAGCCAAACATCAACCTGCACCTAAAAATGCATTTATAGGCCAACAGACCAGCTGCACAATGTGGCATAACACCTGGTATAAAATAAAAAAAATATTAAACACAGCACATGATGCTTTCAACTCCCTATGCTCCTTCCTATAATCTTGAATGCAATTATTGTGGAGTACTTTGTGAAATATGACACAGATTATCCCAGTCTAATTATATATTATTCTAAAATTGGTTGCTCTATAATAAATAGCTTTCAGGATAACGTACAAGGAAATCAGAAGCCAAACCCCAAATCCATAGAATAAAAACAAAAGATCTAAACAATAAATTAAAAGGGATCGAGTTAAATGTATGAATATGCTATGTATCCCTTGTAAAGCAATACAATAATAGAAACATTCATTAATTTGACCTGATGTATTTCAAATGATAGTTGAAATTCCACAGGAATTTTTGGTTTCAAAATCTGCCCAATATTCCAATGACTTTTAATGGTTGTAAGACAATAATTGAATGAAGAGTTATAGCTAAAAAGGTGCCTCTTGCCTCCACAGGATGAGGGAAGATTCAAGCTTTTATTTATTATCATATAATGTAAATGAATGTAGAAAGTTTTACCCACTTTTTCCTAGAGGAGACAGACATGCTAACAGTTAATGCATAAACAGAGAAGCAACAGCTTTGTTTTATAATTGTTTATTAATATTAGTGATCTTACAAAGCTACCAATTTTCCCCAAGTTTTACTACAGCAAAAGCAGCTTAAAATAGAAAGAACCCTTTTGTATAAAAACGATCAATACCCTTCATAGTGACCTATGAAAAATCTCGTAAGATTGATAAAATGCTTTTTAAAGAATTGTTTTTTTCTCATAACTCTAGATACCATGTGGCAAGTTTTGGAACCAAGTTCCAGCTTGATTTGAATTATTAATAATCCCTTGCTTAATTGGCTGTATTACGTAGTTCAATAGAAGAGATAGTTATATTATGATAACACCTCATGATCTTTAAAAAAAAAATATTGTAATTGATTTTTTGAGCTCAACATAGGAGAAAATTATAGTGCTGCATTTTAAAACTTCATTTTTACATTGAGTAATTACTTCTATGCTGCATATTTAATACTTTAAAAAGATGAAGCCAAAGCTCACAGGCTATATGATTTGGAAAAACCATAATTGGATTGTTATGGAATATATATGTGCTGTGATTTAACAGAATACTGTATTGGAAATTGTCACTTTCAAATGTAATACTTCCTTTTAAAAATTAACATTTTCAGGAATCCTATATGCAGTCTGTGAAATATATAATTTTTCCATTGAGATTTTCAAATGCATTTTAAAGTCAGGCACTGATTTCTGGAATGTAGAATTCATTCAATCGTGTGGATTGCACTGCAATCAAAAATAGGTTAGTTCATAAGCAACAATCCCTTTTTATTTACAACTTAATTAAGAAGGAAAAATTGGATATGAGTATTTTTTAAAAATGTATATACTCTGTGCTGCTGGTTTAGGACAAACATGCTTCCTGTATTTGGAAAAAGAATTACCAGTTTTTTCCCCCTCTGGTCAGACTGGCTGTGTTGTCATGGAATTTTTGCACCACCTTCTTGAGTTTAATATAGATTTTTCTTGCCTGTTCCACAGAAACTCTGGCATAGCAAAAAAAAAAAAAGAATGGTCCTTTTCCTACTTGCAATATCCTATATTAATCAAGGGGAAATTTTTTGAGAGAATCAACAATCTCCCAGTGAAGCAGCTGCCTAATAGTTTAATTGCTTCTGAAATGATAAATAGTGACACTCTGACACAAATCAAACATGAAATGGCAGTCCATCAATAACTGCAAGCTTCACGTGGCGCTAATATACTTCAGTTAATACTGAGACAGAATACACAGAAATACATGCCTCACATTTTAACAATGTTTTAATAATTATATTCAAATAGACCTAAAATTTCACAAAACCCAGTAATCAAAGATATCCATGCAGAACCCCACTATTTCCATTCATAAAAGTGACATGTCAGTCAGGTGAAAAAAAATGTAGTTCAGTGATTCTCACAAAGGCAACGTTTTAAACTGGATGAAATTTCAATCTTCTACAATAAGACTTGATGGCAGTTATTCACATCTTATACTTGAACCGCCTATTTTGTTCCACTGTAACTGTAATAGTCGTGTCTTCTTAAATTTAGCAGCGTAATAATTTCAAAAATGGGGTGGATAGCCTAGTATCCAGGCGAAAAGCAACAGTTGTGCATGGTTTGAAGATTTGGAAAGAAAAGGCATCCTGGTTTGAAGTTCAATTCTTCTTTACTGAAGTTCATTTCTTCTTATCAAACAAATGCAGCATTAAATGACCGACCAATTATTATTCTGCGCACCTCACTTGTCCCTGCCCCAATTTCATACAATTTAGCATCACGCAAAAAACGTCCCATGGGATAATCATTGATGTAGCCATTTCCCCCTGAAATGAAAGGAAAAGAGCTAAATGTTAAATAAGAGACAGAAATCCTGATGGTGGTCCAGCAAGGCAGGGGTTAGGGTGTGCAAGGCCTGGCTACAACTGTCCAAAGGTAAGTAGTAGGGCAGCTCCACCACCCCCATCCCCACCCAAGCTTAATTTTTACCCGTGCACTCAAGTGGATGGGATCTTAAATAGAGCTTATGGGGGGGGGGGGGCTTTATATTGGGCACACGTGTAAAAATCAAGCCAGGGCTTACTTTCAGGATAGGTGGCATTTGGGGGGGAACGGTACTAATAATGTATTCATATGCAAAGAAAGCTTGCATGCTAATTAATATCAATTTGAAAAGAAACAAATTATAAGATATAGTGGTAATCAGTAAAGATGAGACAGAAGTAGCTATATAATGATATGCAAACTTTTAATTAGTTGGTCTACTATACTAGTGGAACAATCAGCTATCTCGTCTCTTACCCAAACACTGGATTCCATCCAAAGCAACTTGAGTAGCACATTCTGCGGAATAGAGGATCACTCCGGCACAGTCCTGAAGAAAAAGACAAGATCACTTGCACTGAAATAGAAGGATGCAAAGCAATTCTAATTTGCAAAATAACCCAATAGAATTGCATATTTCTTTCCATATCCCACTATGCATTTAAATATACATAATTATTATAGAGAAATTTATTGTTTTCTTAGGAGAGAATTGTTATATATTTGAATTTCCAAAAGAAGAAATGGCAGATAAAAGAGCTCCGTGAAAAATGAAATAAATGTAAGGCAAAAAATGGACAGCCAGGGAGTTGTCAGCCACCCCAAGTAAACCAGACAGGAAACACAAAATGAACTAATTATACTTTATTGCATGGCTACATTAAGAGAATTTTGCAAGTTCAAAGTACAGACTTCCCACCACTGCTTTTAATTGCTTGACACATTAGGGCAGGTCCTTCTTAATTTTCTTTTGACTCTTAAGCCACTGAGGACTCCTGCCTGTCTCTTCTGATTGTTTCCTAGGCAGCATCTCTTTCCCCAGTTTCTCAAGGTCATCGACATATTTCATTACATGAGCAGAATGGCTGTTCAAACCTTTCTGGACAAAGAGAGGATGGGAGATTGGCCACAATTGCTCCAGATAGTTAGTTGCTCCTCATGAGGAGCAAGGCAACAGGCTATGGCAGGTTTTGAGCAATGGGAGACAAGGAAATAACCATTTTGTTCATGCCATGGTTAGTGCCTTTTAAAGGACACTAAACTTATTACAGTGACTTCTTATGCTACACTATAAATAAATCTTTTGTAGATAGATAAAAACGTATTCTAGCAGTTAAAATGGAAAATGGGATATTTAAAATATGTTATACAGTTTGTGCCTTAATTTCCAGTAGTACTAAATCTTAACGTACTCCTGGCAAATCAAAATACAGGGGAATGTGGAAATTAAAAATATTTTATAAGTGGACTCACAGTCTGGGAAACACAGTATGTGATTTAGAAAGATGGGCAAAAGTGGTTATTGCTTTGAACAGATAATCCATTTAGTAATCACCAAATCAAACATTAAATTGTTGATTTTTTTAAAAAATCTGATTTTCTGATAAGTTGCAGAGTTATGAATTTTACTGCTTTATTTGCTTTTATAGTTTCTCAGTTTCAGTGTTATGAATAGAAATATACGATAGAAAAGCTAAAATAAAATAAAATAAAAACAATATTTTCCCGCAAATTCACCTTTGCATTGATGTGTCCTTGATCACACGCCTTTGCTACGTTATATACATACTGCCGGCATGCCATCAATCGGGTATACATATCAGCCATTTTACCCTGCATCAACTATATACAGCAGCATAAAAAGGTGAAAAAAGCAAAATGTTTGAAGTTATTTTCAAATGTTATGTCTAAAAATCTGTATGACATTGGCTTCCATTCCTGAACATCACTATAGTCAGACTTATAATAGCAGTAAAAAAAGAAACAATTAAAAATGTATTTTATTATTGGTATATAGAAGACAGAAGTAACATACATTTCCAGCTGCTGTCCACAAATCAAAGTGCAAAGTGAAATAGAAGCAAGAACTACTTGTGTTGGAGTAGCAAGCCTTAGTGAATGTCACTAGAAGAACAGTTATTACCAGTGGAAAATGGTGATAATAGTAATTGGATGAAATCCAACATCCCTTGAATCACAGTAGCCTTTGTACTGCTAAAGTACTTTGAAAATCCAAATCCCTACTTGTTCTCCAAAAGGGAGCTGCAAACTAAAATAGTTATTTGTTCGTTAAATTTACATGGTCCCTAACTCACAGCTTTCCTGGGCAGTGAGTGTATGGAAGTAACATAAAGAGCAAATCTAATCCAAATGTTGCTTCCCAAAGATACTAAATTTCAAATTTAAGAATATTCTAGCAGTTAAAATGCCATATTTTCTTACTCTGAATCACCCAGTATTGCAGTAAGGGGAAAAGTACAATGGTTTTGCACTTGGTTTCTTAGAATGCAAATATTAACATAACCAGGATAGAAACAATTAAAAGCCAATTAATTCAAAATCTATTTAATACGATTCTTATTGATGATCAGATACTAGCCAATTATTGAATTCTTCTCTGAAAGTTAATTGGTGTCTCTTTCATTATGCTTACCTGGAAGTGGCCAATTTTCTGCCCAAATGCTTCCCTGATATGCAGATACGGAACAGCATGATCTAGGACTGACTGCATGATTCTGCAAGGGAAACAAACGTACTAAAATTGATTTTATGAATTTATAGCATATTTCTGAAAGGGTGGCCCATAAAAATTTAGTGAAAAACATAGTGAATTCAGAAAGTCATGAAACTAAAAGGGCATTAAGAAAAACGATAGATGAACAGGTGATTAAAGGAAACTGACCAAATATTAAGAAATGCTTTGAACCTATCATGCCTACTTAAGCATTTCAGTAAAATAATATATTCCGGAAAAGGTAAAATTACAAGTGACAGAACTATACCAAACTCTGTTGGTCCATTTAGTAACTGTAGTAATTATAACAGGATGAAGGCTCTTAGGATAACCTATACCTCGTTAAAATTAAAAAAAGAAAAGCAAGGAGCCCATGTTGGGAAAGTCTTCTGAATCAGACTATAAAACAAAAGACTAAAACGTACAGTTATTTGACTAGATAATATGACCCTTCTTTCCTATAATTAGCTAACAATGTATTAAATAGCAAACTTTCAATTCCCTCAAGATAAATTGGGGGAATTGAAAACAGAAATTAGGGGAATAGAAACGTGTATATTGGGAAGGATGAAGGGAATCTTAATAATGATATTTGATTCCAAGAAAACTCATTTCAAATAAGTTTTATCACTGAAAATTAATATAAAATATTTCAAGTAATTAAAACAGATTATGAAGTTGGAACCAAAGAATATTTCCATATCTGCTAAATAAGCATCCTTAAAAACTCATTTCACTCATAAAACTATTATGCAAACTTGGAAAAATGCAACACAAAGTAATTTTTGGAAAAAATAGACAAAACAAATGCTGGGAGGCAAGGTGGGGGAGGAGGGAATTATAGCTTCCAGCTTCTCTATATAATGGTTCATTGGAAAACTTGGTCTCTTGTGTTTTTCATTGTGCTCACGGAATGCTGAACGACAGTATTACTGTCTTATGATTCACTGGTTAGGCAGCAAGAAATTATGGTAGGCTGCATTACTCTGCAGATAAGAATCAATTAGATTAACCTTATCTTATTCCAATTTGACACAAAATACTTCGTTATGGTGTCTTATGCAGGGTTCTTTGAAAGCATAAAGATATCCAGCACTGGAAATAGTGCTCTTTTTTGTGCAGTTGTATTTTAAAAAGTTTAGACATCACTTTTAATATCTTAACGTTAGGGACCCTACTTGTATACTGCCTGCTGTCGCTCTGGTATCCTCTTCCCTGAACACCCTTATTTTGGTGTTCAGATTATGCTACCAAAGTTCAGCAAAAAAAGTGGCTATGTTTGGCAGAATGATTTTTCTTTCAAATCAAGCAGTAACATAACTGCACAAATCTCTTAACTCAAACCTTTAAAAGTAATACTTAGAAATGACAATGTCATTTTGGTGGAAACTCACTCTGGGGATGATCATTTCATTACTTCATACTGTTTTGTAACTCTCAGAATATTTTTTTTTAAAAAAGGTAAAATGCAGCCCTTCAATGTTGTCAGCCTCCTTAAAAAGTAATGGATGGTATTTATGGGCAATTCATGAACTGAACTTCCCCTCAAGTTATTACAGAGACAGACATTCTATGCTGACAGATGGCCAACAACCAGTAATGGTACAATTATCTCAGCTACTGTTTTCATGTGTCTTAATAGTAAAAAGAACAACTGCACTTGTAAGTCATTGCTTTGAATAAATCAGCTCAAAGCTATAAAAACCACGAAGGCCCCTTTGCTCCTAGAGACAATTGTGAGGGGAGGGGAGTAACTGTAGGTTAGTATAAACAGGTTGCTTAAAAATAATTTTAAAGATAAGGAAACTTAATGTAAGAAAAGCAAGTAAAAAGACTAATTGAAATGTAGGAAAGATTTCTCATCTGAATAATACTTTACATAAGGAATTATTACCACCAACTGAGAGAACTGATGAAGTATCACAATGTTCTCAGAATAATAAAATAAACTCATATTTACCCCAGTGGTCCACCAGACAGAACGAGTCTCTCTAGATCTAAGCCACTCATCAACACATAGACTCCTTTACCTAGTTGTCCCAATACATTATTAGCTTTAAGAGACAAAGAGAAGTTGGTTACTTGTATAACTTCAACACTGGTTCAGATAAAGAAATGCACCATGGATAGATTATGTGTAAGCCTACATATACATAGTAGTATATGATATAGAATTACATTTTTAACAAATATTGTTTAGCAACGAAGAAAAAGCACTGTTACCAATGCACTTTCTTACATATCTTGACAAAAAATAATTAAACATGCACAATTTAAGGTTTAATCTCAGTGTCATGGTGATAAAATCAAATTATAAATAAATTAGCAGTAATGGGAACCTGTTGTGTCTAATATGATGAGATCAGTCAGTTCCAATATTAAAAACTACAGTACCAATAACCTGGTTTTAAAAACATACCGAAAAAAACAGCAATGGTGAAAGAAATGTACCTTTACCCATTGTTTATGCTGATACACAACTGTGGAATCACAAGGTGAAACATAAGGCTTAGCAATTGATGTTATTCTGCAATTATATATAGCTGTGCTGTTTGCCTAACTTAAACCCTAACACACACACACACACACACACACACACACAGAGTAGAAGTAAAAAAAACAGTTTTAAACTATAGGTAATGCAATTACATGGAGTGGGTGCATTCCTTGTGAAATGTAGAAAAAGAGCAATATCTTAATTTCCCGAATGAATCTCAGAGAATAACTTTGAATAAATACTTTGAATATTCTACCTCCAGCAGAATACAAGATGAGTCTTCTGAATCTGCTGTGGCCTTTGCTATATGGCCTAAACATATATTTCTGTGGATGCTTATGGGGATCAAAGGAGCCTGTGTTACAGCCACTAGAGTATATGTGACACAAAGCCATGTGTTTCAGAGTTGTATTTCTAAAATGCATTCTGATCCAAGTGAAAGAACTCTAAAAGCTCAGAAAATTACTGGAACAGGTCAATGTTGGACAACAATGGAAGTGACCCTGGAGATCAGGGAAGCTTAACTGGCATTTAGTAGTACTGCTGTTACCTTCCACTGAGCTGAGGAAATGGAACCAGTTTTTTAGAAAAAAGAAATGACACATTCTCAATTCTACCTAAAAAAATGGAAACCAGGAATCCACTTTACTGCCAATAAAATCTGAAAAATGAGAAGGTGCATTTTTAAGAGTATAAAGATGGCCTCTTCTTCAGTTCCTTATTAGCAACATGTACTGTGATCAAATGTGGGAAAGAATGGATCCACAGAGAAAACCAAGTAAAAGATGTTTCTTTTCCTCTCCTGAAATCAAATATAGGAAATTACAATCTTGAACCCTATGCTGAATACTCAACAAGATAAAATGGGTGATGTTAACCACGAGCTGTTCTATTGAATGCTTTTAACATAAAGACAACACTGGCACCTTAATTATTAATACTTTTAAAACTTACTCAGACATAAGCTAAGCTAAGCTTATGTCTACCTCATTTTATCAGGTAGATGGAGGCATGACCCATGACAAAGAGGTCTTATGTATACATGGATGAATTAGAGGACAAGGAAATGGAATGGGAATAGGCAAGACTGCTATGGAAAATAGGAGACAGAATTACGATAGAATGGCCATAAATAAATTGTAGGCAGCATTTGTCAACTCTGGCTGCTTTAACATGTCTGGACTTCAACTCCCAGAATTTCCCAACCAGCAAACTGGCTGAGGAATTTTAGGAATAGACATCCAAACATCTTAAAATGGCCGAGATTGAGAAATACCCTGTAGATTATCTACTGTTATTTTAAAGGTCAATAAATCATTGCTGGGTAAGTAATATTTGCTGGGTAAGTACAGAAAATGGAGTCTGTTTAAACAAACCACTGTTGTTAGAAAAGAGAGAAGGGAAATGATGGAGGGAAAATGAGATTCAGAAGAAAGAGTTTAAGTATAGAGAAACAATTTTTGACTTGATTTTTCAGTTTTTAAAAATATTTTATTTAACATTCAGAAAGACAAACCTAAGAAGAGAGAAATAGGGGAGTTACCGTTACAGCTGAAAGCAGCACAGCTACTGTGTAACTCACCAGGAACTTTGCAATCCTCAAAGATTAATTCACAGGTATTTGACCCTCTCATTCCCAGTTTATCCAGTTTTTGTGCTGTGCTAAAACCAGGCATATTCTGAAGAAAAGAAATAGAAAATGCACAGGGAAACTCTCTTCCATTAGAGGTTAGACTAAAACACATTTGTTAAAGCTTCTAACTGAATAGTCTGTACTGAATAGGAGCTAATCACAGAAATGACTCATGCAAAGTGTATTAATGGCAACACGGTAAAGGAAGAGATCCTACACCGACAGAGAGCAAAATCAGAGACCACAAATCAACATACTTGTATGTACCCAATTCTTAACATGAAGCCAAAACAAGTTTAAGTTTGCGTTCGTGTCACTCTTGCTCCAAACCCCAAGGTAACATGGCACTCTAACTAAATTAGGGATGTAAAGAGTCTGGGCTCATGGGTCTGATATGAAATGAAATCTTGTTCCAGTTTTCTGATTTCTAATGTTCCATTACTTGCCTTCTACTCATTCAATGCTCGATCTCTTCTATCTGTAATACTAGTTATTAAACTGTTTATAATATATAGTCAGCGGAGGCTTCAGGATGATTCACTGATTATGAATATGCATATAGAAAATCATAATGGCTCAATCCTTTTAACAAGACTTTCCTATCGGATGTGGTAAGATGGTTCTTAATTTACACAAAGATGGACATGGGAATGACTGTAAAATTAGTTTAAAATAAAAATGCCATCAAATAGGTTTACACCATCATCATGTAGGCTACTTTATTCCAGTTCAGAAACTCAGAAAAGAACTTCCTTGAGCTCACTGAAGTTAAACATCACAAGGTAAATTATTATTTTAAGCTGTCCTAATCTTGCCAGTTTAGAGCTATTCTTAAGGAACTCTTCAGTGGTGGTATTCTACTGCTCCTTAGCGATGATGAACAGTGGAAATCAATCTCTCCGCCGCTCTGCTGTTGGGCCCACCTGGCCGCCCAGGCACCTATACACACCTTTATCCTCTGCTTTTGAAGCACAGCTGCTTTGCACGGTACAGCAGAGTGCTGCGCGGCAGCTGCTGAAGTGACTGGGAGAGAGCAGGCTTGCAGGAGGTGAGTTGGAACGCAAAGTGCACGTTGGATGTGCATGCACGCGGAAAGTGTGTGCATACACATAACGTGTGCCCACCAAACCGATAGTAAAACTTTTTGAATCCCACCACTGGAATTCTTCTTACCCTATGGGCAGAGGCAACTCTATCTCTGCAAAACTTAACACCGTCGCTCAGAACGCTCAAGGAAGGCCAGCGGAATGCCTGGTCTTTTCAGTTTCTTATGCAAGATTGGCCACAGAAGAAGGAACTGCTGGCCTCTATTTTGGGGACAATGTTGTTTCAATGAATTCAGGAGCATGGCTTGTTTCATTTTCTAACAAGTAAGTTCTTTCACATCCAGTTGAAAGGACATGATATCCATACATATGTGTAAAATATTTTACCTGGAAGAGGAAAACAAGCTTTTTTTTTTTTTTACAATCCTGGAGACTTACCTTTTCCACAATGAATGCTGTTATACCGTGAGAAGCTGGAACAGCACTGGGGTCTGTTTTAGCATATACAATTAGAACATCAGCATCTGGGCCATTAGTAATCCAAAATTTGTTCCCGTTTAGAACAAAATAATCCCCTGGAAAGGAAAGATAACTGCTTAATTGTCTGGTTCACAAAACACCCGTAGTCAATGTTATTTCCAGAAAGTCTTATACTTTCCAAGACAACTGAAATTTCCATAAATTTTTCTTCTCAAATTCTGGATACCTGTTTGCTTTTATGTTGTTGTTCATTTTTACAGTTAGATATAGAGACTTACTATATAACTTAGCTCTGGAGCAGAGTTGTCCTACGCAAAAAACACATTCTTCAAAGGATTAGTCAGCTAGAAGGGTTGGTCCACAGATCAGTGCTTCTCAAACAGTATGAAGTTATGACAATCGTATCTCTGTTCAATATTTTATTTTTCACCTCACAACTTTGCTCCATACAATTTTTGCTTAAAGCGGTTGAAACACTCAGAAACCTGTGTTCTCTGTGTTTCCCCATGCCTGCCAATAAACCCAATCCTCAAATCTGAAGCAAGAGAAAGCAAATGTGAATATCAAAAAGATGCGGAAATTATTTTCTATATCAATATATACCTGGGTGGATGCAATATCTTAAAGCTGAGTTTATATGAACTTCAGCTAGATGGTCCTTCTACACCACTGCAATCAGCATCTTTTAACAACCCCATAATCCCTTGCAAGGTGGAGCCTGGGCAACTGAATGGAGCTAGCAGAGTGTTTTAATGGCCAGATGCCCTTCCTGTTGCCAATGCGGAGTTTTGTTCAGCAGATATATTCTCAGTGTGCCCAGAGAGAGAAATATCTGCCTCTACCCAGGATTGAACTCACAGCCTCTTGATTATGAGGTGAGAGCTCCACCTCTAGGCCATCATACCACTTCTACACCACTGCAATGATGGCCCAAAATTGGAGGATTGGGGGAAGGGTTTGAATCCAGAAAAGGACACATGGAATTCTACAGCAGCAATGAGGATTTCCTGGCTTTGCCTACTTTGTACCTAAAGCTTGAAACTCAATAGAGCTATTTAAACAGAACGCAACAAGTACAGGGGAGAGTTGCTCAAAGGGGAAATCATGGGCACTTTTTCCCACTCACAATCAATAACCTTGGATGTGGGTTGATCGGCAGTGATCAGCAATGAAAATAGAGAAACTGAGGATAGGACAATAAGGATCCCCATTGGAGAACACATTGTCAGCTTCATTTAGCCTGGCAACAGTTGCTTTAGACAAAACTGTTATATTCACATCTGTGGCAGCTCATCAGCCTTTCATGCTCACTTGTGTTTTACAACGGCGTTAGTTGTTCTCCATCCCTTTGGCTTGGGAATTGCTCAGACATACATCAGAACTAGTGTAAGTTAATTTTTTGGACATAAAAGAATAGTTAGAAAAGCTTGATGTATAAAAGTGGAAGCCCAAGGGGCATTGGATATCTTTTAGAAACATTTTTTTCCCATGTATACACAATAATTTTTACCTTTTTTGTCTGCCCTCAGCTTCATGGAGACAACATCAGAACCAGAATTGGATTCACTCATTGCTAGTGCTCCAATATGCTCTCCACTAATCAACTGGGAAGATAAGATGAAAAAGAAGTCTATTATTTTGCTGCTATCATTACTATTTTTTTTAATTGTTAAAAAAATTGTTTTCATGCTTTGGGGGACTGCAATAACAAGTGTTATCACTGGAGAGCTTCTCCAAAAGATTTTACTAATGACACCATAGAACATCACATCAAACAAGAAAATATTCTGTAGTTCTGTTATAGCAAATGAATAATGAAACACTGTTTGGAATGGACTTTACAGCTAGGAGAAGGGTACCAAGACAAAAGTATTAGTAGCTTTCCATGAGGTCTTCTCCCTTCTTGCCTTTTGAAAACAGGACCAAATTGATGTATACTTGAAAAATGACCAGATCATTGAAAACGGAGTTTAAAAATTGGACAGAAGCCATGGGTCTGGAATAAGATGTCAAAATCTCAGCCCATATATTAAAACTGCAGTAGTTCTTAACTTTCACAATAGAATTGTACAAATAGTCAGTTTTGCTATCCTGGCACAACAACAGCTCTCTCATTCCCTCGCTTTCTGTTCTTTTTAGCCCCACCATCTCCATATTTACATCTATTCTTTTTCCAAGCTTGTTCAGTACACTGGAATGAAGCAATATAGTTAATACTCTACATATTAATATTACTTCAGCCTTTCAATTTAAGACAGTGAGATGCTTGGGTAAACTTGTACATTTCTCAATAAGAATGAAATAGATAAGCCATACAATTTACCCACTTTTAACAGCATTATGGGTAAAAATAATTTTATTAATTGGAGAAAGGATGGTACAGAATAAGGAAAATTTGCTTCATGGAATCAGAATGGGTTCTCCCTTAATGTTCCAGCCCAGATTTTAATAAACGGAAAACAACTAAGAAATTTTAACTGTCAGAGCATTTTTTTAAAAAATATCACCAAGTCCACCATATAGAAACAGTCACCCTTCTTTATTTAGTTTGTATTTAAAGCACTATTAGCTCATCAGCTCTGGCACTCACCTATTTAATGCAAAGCTGTTTTTAATGAAATGCTATCTTGCAATAATGGGTACTCACTTGGGGAAAGATGATTTAAATAAAAATAAAAATTAGAATATCCCTATTCTAAGTGAAAAATGTAACGGCGCAAATGGAAGATATTTCATTTTTGCATCAATTGGGCAGTGATTGCACTGTTCTCACTGCAATAACAGTGATGAGCAGTGAGGGGTAAGAATAGGGAACTAATCAAGTCAAAAGCCTCTTCATATCAGAAATTCGTTCTTTTATTCGTTAAATAAGGAGAAAAACTGACATCTTTTTCAAGGTCTCCTGTAGACATTGTACATATTAGAGCTTTCCGATGAATTAAGAGGAGCAACATCCTGTAACTACTTTAGAACTGTATGGATATTTTCATAGATGCATAAGCACAACAGAACACAGGTAGTAGACCCTCATTGTCTATGGAGATTCTTAGGGTCATGGCTGTGTCAAAGGTGCTTTTTTCAAGAGGCAACTGGACTTTCTTTTTTTTCTTAGAGGATGTTTTGCTTCTCATCCAAGAAGCTTCTTCAGCTCTGAAGCGCAAATGGTTCAGTTTGAGATGGACACAACACAGGCTCATCCCCAAAAGCCTTTGCTGTGTTCAATCGTGAAGGGACACAGGGCAGAAAACATTCGGCAGAAAACACAGCTCCACAACACAGTCCTTTCAGCAGTTCCAAGAAAGATCCACACCCATTTGCGCTATTCATGTAATCCTGAGGACACAGACAAACCTCCAAAGGGCCTCAATGACTCTCTAAAAGAATGCAAATGACCAGCTGTCTGCAAGGAATATAAATCCTTCCATTCCCCATCATCTAGTTAAAGCTGAAGCTTTCTGGATGAGAAGCGAAATGTCTTCAAAGAAAAAACAGAAAGTCCAGTTGCTTCTTGAAAAAGCATCTTTGGGACAAGAGCCTCATTGCAAAGATTAGATTCAATTTCAAGTTGTAATTGCAGCTGAACCCAGACCGGAAACTACAGAACCAAATCACACAGAGCTTGCAGAAGGGCATGTAACAGCTAAGGCATATTCTTAGGGGCTTCTTCAAAGTTGCCACCAAATGGAAATGCTTAATATGTTAAGGGAAATTTTAATGTTAAGTTAGAAACTAAATAAAATCAAATTCAGTTTTTGTTGTGCTCACACCTTTTATTGATTTTATTTAGAGACTACCTAATTCCAAAGTGACTCTAGGTGGTTTACACTTTAAAGAGCAGAAAACAATAAAAGCAAGGGAAAAATCTGTCAATATTCGCATATGAACAACAAAAACACAACTGTCATATATAAGACTAAAGGATCTTGACACACATTTCAAAACTAAGCGAGGTCTTTGGTTTCTAAAAAGTAGCATTGTTGACTGAAGGCCTCAGAAATGAAGTTTTAATTTCACTGTTCTCACACTTGGACTACTGCAACTGGCTCTACACGGGGCTGCCCCTGAAGATCACCCAAAAGCTACAACAGGCTACCATTAAGTTACCGAGGAATCATGAAAGAGTAGAAATCAGAAGAATTTTTTGTTTGGCACTGCCTTTTTCCTCTTTTTTTTTTTAAAAAGATCGCATTCCAGATTCTTCATTTTTTTAAAGACACCATCTGGAATCCTATTGCTTAGGATGTAAAATATTGTTTTAAAAAATACATTCATATGGAAAATTTTGCATGATAAAAGAGAAAAGCAATAACTTTCATTGCCAGAAAATAAATGAAAGGATGAAATGACTTAGCAGAAGACTATTTCTTTTTTTTCCTTGATACCAATACACAACAGAAAAAGGCTTCCAGGCGCTTTGGGAACCTGCTTTTCCAAGTCTGCAGAAGTCTCCTGTGGATATCAAATCCTTTCTCTTCATCACTGCACCGTAGGCTAGTCATGGCAGGAAACAAATGCGGAGGTAGCCCAGCCAAACATCTTGTGTGAGAAGTCTACTTGAAACACTGCAAAGTGTTTAGCTTGCACAAAAGCAAACGAGGGAGGACTATAGAGGCCTGCAGTGTATGTTTCCTTATTACAGGAAAAATATATTAGCTTCTGCATCTGGAGAAGCAAACAGAACAAGCTCACGTGCACCTGGACACCATGTCAAGACTGACAATTGGTTATATGAACTGAGTTCATGGAAAAGGCTCCCTTCCAAGTGAAAAGAGACAACATGAAATACGAAGCACCAACTGAACTTGCTGTGTCATTTGTAAGGGACCAACAGATCTATAAAATCAGCCTTCAGAGGCAACCAGATGAGCGGAGGGAAGATTATATTTGAAAAGGAAGGCATGAGCTTAAAACTCTGAATTTTCCAACTTTCTTCTCCTTCATACACATGTACTGCAGTTTAGTTCAACTGCAGCACATGTATGAAATGGTTCTTCTGTAGATGTTCGCTCAAAATTAAGCCCTACTAAGTTCAGGGGAGCTTATTCCCTAGGCAAGTACTCTATGTATAGATCTGCTGCTTAAATATGTAAGATACTTATCCTAACCTCAATGTTAATCAGGCTCTCTCTCAAACCTAGAGGGACTTGGTAAATATCTCTTGCAGATATAAGATTGCTTCCTTTACTTATCATTAATTTGTAGCGACAAATCAGACATAAAAATTGAAGATGGTTTTTAGTCCAGATGTTTTTAAATTGTTTTCTTCCTATAATACTTAAACAAAATACATTTTATAAAGATTAAGTAAAACAATTGAGGCGGAATAATGTGACTTGCTGTACTCTAAAACAAAACGAATACAGGTAGTCCTCGACTTATGACCACAATGGACACCCAAAATTTCTGTTGTTAAGCGAAATATCTGTTAAGTGAATTTTGCCCCATTTTACGACTTGTCTTGCCACAGTTGTTAAGCGAATCACTGCAACTATTACGTTATTAACAAGGTTTTAAGTGAATCTGTGAACCTTGTTGGCAGGTTACAAAAGGAAACCCCTTGACCCTGGGACACTGTGGCCGTCATAAATATGAACCAGTTGCCAAGTATCTGAATTTTGATTAGGTGACCATGGGGATGTTGCAACAGTTGCAAGTGTGAAAAATGGCCGTGTCACTTTTTTCAGTGCCACTGTAACTTTGAAAGGTCACAAATGATGAGGGAATAGAAGGCTTAGATGAGGGAATAGAAGGGGAACTTACCAAATTTGCAGATGATACTAAGCTGGCAGGAATAGCTAACACCCAGGAAGATAGGCTCAAGATCCACATGGATCTTGGCAGACTAGAACACTTGGCTGTTTCTAACAAAATGAAATTCAATGTAGACAAAAGTAAAGTCCTACACTTAGGCAAGAAAAACCAAAAGTACACATATACACTGGGCGAAACCAGGCTTAATAGCAGTAACTGTGAGACGGATCTTGGAGTCTTAGTGGACAACCAGCTAAATATGAGCCAGCAGTGTGCAGCAGCAGCCAAAAAAGCTAATGCAGTCCTAAGTTGCATTAACAAAGGATACAATCTAAATCAAGTGAGGTACTAATACCACTCTATAGATCCTTAGTAAGTCCACATCTAGAGTACTGCATCCAGTTTTGGTCACCACATTATAAAAAAGATGTTAAGACTCTAGAAAAAGTACAGAGAAGAACAACCAGGATGATTAGGGGACTGGAGGCTAAAACATACAATGAACGATTACAAAAGAAGGACCAGAGGAGACGTGATAGAGGTCTTCCAATATTTGAGGGGCTGCCACAGAGAGGAAGAGGTCAAGCTATTTTCTAAAGCGCCTGTAGGCCAGACAAGGAATAATGGATGGAAACTGAACAAGGAGAGATTTAACCTGGAAATAAGGAGAAACTTTCTGACAGTGAGAACAATCAGCCAATGGAACACCGTGCCCTCGGAAGTTGTGGGAGCGCCATCACTTGAGACTTTCAAGAAGAGACTGGACTGCCATCTGTCAGAAATGGTGTAGGGTCTCCCGCTTGGGCAGAGGGTTGGACTAGATGACCTATAAGGTCCCTTCCAACTCTGATTATCTGTTAAATGAAGTGTTGTAAGTCGAGGACTACCTGTATATCTATTCAAGTTGTTGCATGCTTTTGTTCTACTGAGTAATTGGCTTATTTCTACACACCTTGGGTAGATATTTCTCTTTTTGTGCTTCGTTGCCATTCCTCACCAACTGATTGATGCACAGATTTGAATGAGCACCGTAGCTTAATGCAACTGCTGCTGAAGCCCGAGATATTTCTTCCATTATCAGTACATGGTCCAGATAGCCCATCCCTGATCCACCATATTCAACTAGAAGGAATTGGGAAGTGGAAGGGTAGAAAAGTTTATAATTAGAGAAATATAGCCTAGAAATATTACTAAACTGCCCCAAGTCCAAAATATCCATATCGCCACATATTGCAAATCCATAGGCCACAAAGGCTTGTTCAATGCTGAATGCATGTACGTACCTGGAACTGTTACTCCCAGAACTCCGAGTTCCCCGAGCTTCTTCCAGAATTCCTATAAAGAGTGGAACAAAGCCTTAAGCAAGATTTTGGCCTAATGTAAGGTCACTCAGGTTTTGCAGTGTCCTTAAGTATCCCAGTTTAATCTCCCTTGCCAACATAAAATGCTGGGTAAAATATCTATTGCCCAACATTGCAAACAAAGGATTGGACAGTTGAAGAGTGGCTCATTTGCAGTTCCATCTGATACAACTCTAAATAAACACTATCATCATTGGGTAGGTAATTAGCTCACTGAGATAAAAAAAAACAAGGTTTTCCATGCAGCGAGACCAATTAATTAAATTTTGAAACTGACACTGTTTATCAAGTACAATTACTAGAATCTCTGCATTGAAATATCATTTTAAAGCGTCTTGTAAGATTATATTTCAGGTTTAGAGTTTACTGAATTGTTGTTTTCAAGATTAATTAGTGGCAGCTTATAGCCAAAACTTTAAGAGGGAAAACTCTAAAAAGACTTTTCCCTAGTCCCTTTTGAACTGCAAATAATTAATTTGCAAGCATATGGAATGCTAAAATTTTTACAATATTGGTATTTGGCTTACTAATTCCGACTATGTTTGCCCAGTTTAACATGAAACATGATAAAGTATTTGCTCAGGAATCACACCTGATATATCACAGAAAAGTGCAATCAAATGCAGTTTGCCAGATAGCAATAGCACTATAGCAATAGCATTTAGACTTATATACCACTTCACAGTGCTTTACAGCCCTCTCTAAGCTGTTTACAGAGTCAGCATATTGCCCCCAACAATCTGGGTTCTCATTTTACCTACCTCAGAAGGATGGAAGGCTGAATCAATCTTGAGCCGGTGAGATTCGAACTGCTAAATTGCTGGCAATTGGCAGTCAGCAGAAGTAGCCTGCAATACTGCAATCTAATGACTATGCCACCACAGCTCAGATGTCCTAGCCAGGTGCTATTTTACACCCACACCCAAACCCACATCTTTGCAAACAGCATTACCCACAATGATCTGAGCAAGACTGTCACATACAGGGTAATGGAAGGTTAATCCTTCCTCCAGTCTCTGTGCTTGAAAAAACAACATTCTAAACACGATTAAAATAGTGAGAAACAGTAGAGCACCAGAGCTTCTACTGCAAAAACAGATATGCTTTATGGCCTTCATGAATGATGATGATGATGATGATGATGATGATGATGATCTTGCCTTTTTTCCAGGAGCTCAAAAGTGGTTTACATAGCCATTTCCCTTCATTTTTACTGTGCAATGGGACAGAGGGAACAAAGGCAATACATTTGATCCATGACAGTGGATGAAGTTGGACATGGGACTCCACAGTCCAAATCTAACTTCTTAACTGCTCCACTGAGCTGGCCCTTAAGTACACGTAGTCCTTGACTTATCACCATAATTGAGCCCCAAATTTTTGTTGCGCAGTGAAACATGTTAAGTGAAATTTGCCCCATTTTATGACCTTTTATGCCACAGGGGATCACGTGATCCTGAGACACTGCAACTGTCATAAATATGAGTCAGTTGTCAAGTACCCGAATTTTGATCATGCGGCTATGGGAATACTGCAATGGTCATTAAGTGTGAAAAACAATAAGTCACTTTTTTGCTGCTGTTATAACTTTGAACAGTCACTAAATGAACTGTTATAAGTTGAGGACTATCTATACAGCTTTCCTAAGATTTAACTGCTGCTCAACCACAAATTAACCATTAGTTTGGATTCACAGTCACTGAACAAAATGGTATCTGCAGCAGCAGCAATTGGTAGGGCTAAAAAGGAGTTTTCTTCCATTCATTATTTTCAGAAGTAATCCAATAAAAAATAAGATGTTAAGCAAAACAGAATTGTGCCAATTAAATTTTATAGGAAGATCTTGGGTTTTCTACAAACTTTAAACACCCTTAAAAAAAACCCCTTTCTTTCTATAGCCTTCTCTTAGATTGTTTTTGCGGTCTAAATGCTCCCTTGGGGAGACCTAGATGCTGCAAAGTGCAACCTAACATTATTTGGAACAAATATGAAGCTGCAACTGGTTTACTCAAGGGCCAGAAAGGTTTATATATTAAGCCTCTCCCAGATTTGCTATTTGGAATTCTTTAGCTAGACTCACTAGTAACTCAATCTAAGAACTGTCTCTAAGGAAAATGTGCATTTTATTACTGAAGCTATCATCCCTCCCTTAAGATAAAATTCTTGGATTGACTTTTGGCTTACAGTATATATAGAATGAGGAAATAAATTGTTTTTTTAGATTAGAGAAACTGTAACTCTTAAGAAATGGCAGAACTGATTTACCTCACTGTATGTGGCTTCATTCACACCAATAATCCCTGTGAACAGTTTCTGAGATAAGTACCTTATAGTACTGTTATAGTTCAGCTGCCCTCTCTTAGAGCAGTCAGCCCTGATTTGAGTTGGGAGGCTGGGACCTTCTATTCCTAGGATTACTTTAAGTATCTCCCTCAACTCCTAGCTCCATTTACAATTTAAATAATTATGTAAGAAGTTATTTTTTAGGATCAAAAGACCACATTATTTACGAAAATGGGTACCTTGGAAGCGGACATTCTTAAATGGTGCAAATGGCATTTCAACATGTATGAAAAATCAAACACCATGCACTCTTATCAAATTATCTGATAAAAATATACCCTAATACATATTAGGAAGTATAAACTTACTATATCAAATAACTTACATTGTAACATATTTAAAAAGCAGTCTAAATTTTTTACTTATGTTCTACTAAAAAAAACTCCGTTCAAAGTTACGTCACTGAAAAAAGTGACTTATGTCCAGTTTTCATACTTATGACCATTGTAGCATCCCCATGATCATGTAATCCAAATTCAGGTGCTTGGCAATTGACTCATATTCCTGATGGTCCCAGGGTCACTTGATCCCCTTTTGCGACCTTCTGACAAGCAAAATCAATGGGGAACCCAGATTCACTTAACAACAGTTGGATTAATTTAACAACTACAGTGATTCACTTAACAACTGTGGCAAGAAAAGTCATAAAACAGGGCAAACTCACGAAACAAATGTTTCACTTAGCCACAGAATTTTTGGGCTCAATTGTGGTTATAAGTCGAGGCCTACCTGTATATTTTTAATAGTTAGCTGTTAATGTATAAGGTTTGTCTGTTTTGTTAGGGTTAGGGTTAGGGTTAGGCCACTCTCTAACATACCAAATGCCTTCATGTCAAAGGTGATATTCAGCAGGTTCTGACCAGTTCTGGAAAATCGGTAGTGGAAATTTTGAGTAGTTCAGAGAACTGGCAAATACCCCACTCTGACTGGAGATTTTGCAGTATCCTTCCCCTGCCACGCCCACCAAGCCATGCTCATAGAACTGGTAGTAAAATATTTTGAATCCCACCACTGCTTCACATGATATTCTATCTAAACTGCTGCAAAATACTGCTCAAACGCAGTTACAATCAAGTATAAATAAAATGAAATACAGTATATTATAGATTAGTCTGAACTTTAGCATCCAGGAAGAATCTTTCACCAAAGTCTGTAAATAAATTCTGAATGGAAATTTTTAGTTCCACAAAACATACACCAGAGTTTAGGAAACTATTTTTTTTCCTTTCCCATTGTTTTGGGAACAACAGCTAAATTTTCTTCAGATAAATGTAAAAATATATTACATAATTCTGGAAAAAACACTATACCATATAATTCAATTGTCTAAAAGTGCCATTTACTAGTATGTAGTTGCTGGAATCATGAGTGGATAAATGAAAAACTTCCTGCTATCACCTTTTTACTAATATTTAAAAATATTACTAATAGTAATATTTTTACTTACCATATATCCATAGCTAGAAAAAGCACAGAGATTGCTTTCGGGATGGTTCCTTTGGGACTTTTAGCTCAAAAGGAAAAAAGATAAGCTAATTGTGTGTTGCTTTTTATAACTGCTGAAGAAATATTTGAGTGGGTAAACAGAAAAGGAAGATGTACAAAAAGTGAAGGCTCATATATTTCAATAATAGTTCTGGAAGAGTAGCAGGCTAGTGTTAGCTAAAATGACTGAGTGAAATAAAATAAATGACTTTCTAAAATACCAAGTAAAAAGTTTTTAGTAAAATAAGCTAGCATTGAACATATAAGTTTCGAAGTTTTACAAAACACAAACCACAGCATAAAGTTCTCAAACTGGGATGTTTTCCACCGTGGTTGCTAGCAAAAACTTCATACTCAATCCTCACCTAGCAGATGGACCATGATCCCTTGCCATTACCACTCCAATTATCATGCTCCTTTCTTCCTTTAACAACCCTGGCATATTACCCTTTGATCACACGACACTGGCCTTATTTCATTCTGAGACCAAGATTTCAATAGCCTTTTACTAATATTTTAGGTGTCACCATTTTTTTTCTGTTGGAGCTACCATTTCACCCGACCCTGTTTCAGGCTAAGTTCCCAGCCACGATCACTTTTTAATGGACTCCAAAGAAGATGCCTATATTTTAGAGGGGAGGACAAGTAGCTATTTTGCTATGAGTGGGTCAGAGGAGAGAAAACCAAGGTCAGAAAGGAAATAGAATAGCGTGCTGGGGTCTTCTGACCCCAGCACGGAAATACAACAGGTTGTTTGAAAAAGAATAGTGCCCTGTAACCCTTAATAGGCTAGCTAGCAGCTTTTGTGTATGATTGTACACAGTGAAGCTTTTACAAGCAGTGTGAGTGTATTTCCATGAAAATGAATGCAATGGCCTCTATTGGTAACCAGTGTCATATTCCATGCTATAGTTACTATTTAAGCTGCATATGCATGGTCATAGATTAGATCAGAACATCCAGAACTGGTTTCAAAAACAAACAAGTGTATTTTAATAAACCTAACAAGGAAAAGATGTACAAAATTCTGACGATAAACTTCTTAAATACTAAAGGGTTTGATAAAAACACAAGCAGTAAAATTATGTCCCATAAAATAACTCTCTCTTATAAAATGTTACTTTTGGATGGAATTCCATGTTTTAGAAGATTAACACCATTTTTTCTTAATACCATTTTTTTTTAATAATCTGAACCCCCTATTTTAATTTTTTTAAAATTGCAGTAAATTCCAAACAAAAGAATCAGGGACAGAGTTGTTTTTTTTGTCAGTGTTCAAATTGAGTTTACAAGAAAGACTTTACTTAGACATTTAATTAAATGTATCCTTTCTAACAAGTAATACTTCATAACAACTTGATTCTTCAGTATTTGTATATTTATGTTACATACATTTACATTCTAGAAATTTAATACATAGTTCTATCATCTCCAAGTTGGTGCTTTCCAGGCCAATATGGGGTAAGAGGAATTGTGAAATCTGAAAGGCATTAGGCTAAGGAAATAAAATTACTAAAAAATACTGGTTGTATCACTGAGTCAGATACATGCATGTCTATTGAAAGCACTTACCCTCATATTTTTGAATTCATTATCCCGATCAATTTCTTGAGCCTTTGGAGCTAAGTGTTCCTGACAGAATTTGGTCATGGTTTGCCTAAGCTGTCCAAAATACAATAAAAATGCATATTAGAAACCAACATTTTCTTGCTTAACATTAAAAAGAAATATCATTTGCAATACAAGATAATTATCAACTGAGTAGGAGGCTTCCCCTTTGTACTTGTGTGAATCAGTAAGTACTTACAGTTTTATTATTTAACAACTGAAACGAATTTGTGTCATTGAGAAAAAAAATTGTGATGGATAGCAACAGTTCCTGTGGGACCTGCATAGCTGAGTTAGGGCACGATTTCATAGTCCTAACCTGTTTGCTATTATTCCCATAGTCTCTGTTTCTTTGCACAATCCCTTGGGAAGTGGGGTTGTCCCTGAGTAGTTACCTGGACTTCCTCTGAGGGAAATTGGGATTTTGATCTAATGATTCAGTCTTAGCAGAGCGTTCAGTACGGCATTTGTTTGATACCTCAAGCATACTATGAGAGAACACCATAGAAGCTCTATTTATTGTCCATAATATTCCTTAGGATTTAACTCCATGGCTTCAGGAATGTTATCATAGGTACAACAGGAGAAACTATTTCAACCTTTTCTTAGGATATAGCAAGACTCTAATGAATAAATTATGTTAGAAACCTACTGTTAATAATTTAGTATTCCCCAAGGTTGGCTACTTTTGACATAAGGAAAATCCAGCATCAGGAAGGGTCCTCAAAATCACAACAGGTAAAGACCGATTTTTATTTACTTTATTTAATTATCAAGCTGCCTGAGTCCCTAAAGATTCTGGACAGTTTTCAATTAAAAGAGAAAAAGCATATAGAGAAAAGAATAGTGGAGTAGCGGCCAGGTTTAAGCATTAAGGAATCTATGCAATTCCATTATTAAATGTTTATATGCGTTTTCCAAAAATCTGAATGTTCTTTCTATAAGGTGTTAAAAGACCTGGATGTATCCACAACCTTTTGGACGAGGAAATGAAGCAAGTACCACTGGCTTTCTTTAAAATATTGTTTCTAATTTAAAAATCTATGATACTAAATTTATGAATTTGGTCACATATGGAAACCTGTTTGTTTTGTACTTTGTTTTATACTTTGTTTTATTAGTTTTTTTCTTCAATGAGATTGATGGCTTCATAATTTGTATAAACGAATGAATGTAAAATGCTCAGGAGGGATATATAGATAGCTTTTCACACTCATTTCTGTCCATCTAGCAAGAATCCTACTTTCTTTAGAGGTTTAGACTCAATAGAGATTCTGAAGAGCTCAACAGGATGGCTCAGCCCATTAATGTTGACAACTGGTACAGTACATGTGAAATCAAGTATAGACAATACAATGGTCTTCACATATCTTAACATCTCAATTCCCATCTACCCTGGGTTAACCAGCAGAGGGCACTGGGTTGTCCATCCTTGGTAATTTTATCTAATTTGCAGTGAAGGATTGTTGTGATGTGCTGTTTGTCAATATTTGATTAAATCTAATTTCTTTGGACAGAGGACAAAGGAATAAGATTTTTTTGAACAAACTGGCCAGGTTTTCTGAAGTTGTTTCAACAATGATATAAATTGATTTTTTTTTTCTCTTTTGTTATATGTGGATGCCTATACTATTATTTGTTAATATTACTTGAAACAGGTAGTCCTCAACAGAGAACCACAATTGAGCCCCATTACAAAGCAAGGCATTTGTTAAGTAAGTTTTATTCCACTTTGTGACTTTTTTTTAACCGCAATTGTTAAGTGAATCACTATAGCTGTTAAATGAATCATACGGTCATTAAAGTGAATATGGCTTCCCTCATTGCCGAAAGCTAGCTGGGAAGGTTACATATGATGATTACATGACCTTGGGACAATGCAATTGTCATAAATACATGCCAGTTGCCAAGCACACACATTCTGATGTGATTGTGGGGATGCTACAGCCATTGTAATTGTGAAAACCAATCATAAGTCACTTTTTTCAGTGTAATTATAACTTTGAACAGTCACTAAATGAATGACTACCTATGTTTTATGTCTTTTTACCATCATATTGTTGGTATTTATTTTCTAGTTACCATAAATAGAATCAAAAGAGGACCGAAAAAGATTTTCTCAAAGCATTTATTCACCGATACATTGAATATAATTCAATTCTGCCTTTCATAATTTACCACTATGTAGAGGTCAAGCAGGTAAGTATAAATTATTATCCTATTTTTATGCTTCATTAAACCAAAGAGAGAAAATACAATGGATTTTTAGCTATCAATATAACCAATCAATGCAACATAGTAATGAAGATAACAAAGTGAAACAAAGCAAGCAATCTGTTTTAAAGGTTTTTCTTTAAAAAAAAAAAAAGCAAGCCAACACGATCAACAGAGCCGTTCTAGACATAGCCATGTAAAGACATAGCTCAAGTCTGCTAAGAGGAACATTTGTCTTCGTTAATTAATCAATCAGAATAGAGCTGGAGGGGACGTTCTAATACAATCACCTGCTCAAGCAGAAGACCCTATACCAGTGATGGCGAACCTTTTCGTTGTGGTGTGCCTAAAGTACACGCACATGCCAGCATCCACAATGCAATGCCCCCCTTGTGCATGCTCACGTAACCCCCCTTACCTGCACTGCACATGCACATACCTCCCAGCTGATTTTCAGCTCATTTGAGGCAGTTTTGGTCCTCCTGGGGGCTCAAGGGAAGCCTCTGCAGCCTTTGGAGGCCGAAAAATGGGCCTGTTTCGGCACTAACGGAAGGCCCATTTTTCAGCCTCCAAAGGGTGCAAAGGCTTGCCTCAAGGCCACAGGAGGGTGAAAAAGGCTTCAAATGGGCCAAAAATGCACAGTGCAGGTAAGTTTGGCTGGAGCTCGCATGCCCGCACAAATGGCCCTATACCATTGCAGATAGGTGGTTGTCCAGTCTTTTCTTTAAAAATTTCCAGTGATGAAGTACCTACAACTTCTGAAGGCAACCTGTTCTACTGGTTAATTATTTCTACTAATCAAGGAGAGAAGCAATGTTCACTGCAAGTCAGATAACAAATGGATACACAGAGTGAAAATAACTCACTCGCAACAGCTTACCCCCATGCACATGAATATTCCCAACTCAGGATTTTATAGGGCTAAGATCTGGTTTTTCTGGAGGGCTTTTGGACACGGTTGAGTATAGAATTGTTTTCAAAATGAAGTGGTGGTTACAGTGACTATTTTGTATTTGTATTATTAATTTTGTGGTGGTTTGTTTATTGTTGACTATTGTTCTATTATCTATTATCTTTTAGAATGAATTAGGAAAACAATAATTTCTCAGCTGCTTGGAAACTGTAGACTGAAGCACAAAAGCCAAATAAATACATAAATAATTCTGCAAATGAAGTTGCTAGTTTCTACAAAAGATCCATATGTGATGGCTGTTTTTCACTGTAGTACACTACAGATACTCAGCTGGAGAACTTTATATCTAAATGCCATGTAGTGTTAAACATATCCATAATAGTACCATACTGATTGCAAAACAAACACTTCATAGGCAAAATTTGGTTTATTGTTCAATGCCTAGTCTGTTTAAGCACTTAAATATACTTTGCAATATTGTAGAATAAGATTTAGTAGCACCAATTACAAAAATCTATGATTTGGGCATACCCAAAACTTTTTGTAATTCAAAAATATATATTATGTTTACCTTTGCAATCAAAGATATTTCCACAAAAGAAAAAAAAAGCCATGTGCTAAAATGAAATGGTGCAGTTTGTCAGGCTTAGTTATTACACAAACCACATCTCAAATCTGGTTCAAAATAGCTACTTGATATGTTATAATACCCTGCTATGCCCTTTGACTGACTTGCAGATTACACTAAGTGATGAAATATTTAACCATCTTTAATTAATAAAGCAATTCTGGCTAAGCCATAAACTATGTTTTACAAACCACAATGCTAGACTCAGACAATACATTAAAATCAAACCCAATATCACATTATAGCCCAGCAATAACTCATAAGAGGATTACATGTATTATCGTTGCCCACATCCCCACCAAAAAGTTCCATTGAAAATAACCTTGCTAATTTTGAATGCCACTCATAGATTCTACCACCCAAAAAATGAATTTAGAATATAAACTCCAATTGTCTTGGGAGTTATAAAATTCATCTCTGCTTATCTAGGTCATTCATGTTAACACCATTGCTCACACCTGGAACTCATTTTATTTGCGAACACTTTCTGAAGTTTATCTAACAGGGTAGATGCGTTTCTCATCGCCGGTGCATATACAAGGATCCCCCGTCCGCCTCTTTGCGATTCTTATTCCCGCGTAATCCAGAGCAGAGTTCTGGGATCCAGAATAGGTCCGGCCCCGTTCATGGAATCCCTACACGAGCACCCAACACGAACAGGGGCCAGGAAGGCCGACAGCAGGTTGGCGGAGGCTGCAAGAAGGAAACAAGGCAGAGGACGCTTGTTTTGTAACGCTATAAGAAGCTGTCGGGTATACCTGCCGCTGCTCCGCGTTCAAACCATTCACCGTATCATCCACCGGGAGCCCGGCGCAGCCCCGCCGCCAGAATGACAAGCCTCCGAGGAAGCAGCGTCGGGAGCAGCTGGTAGCGCCCTTCTTGATCAGCCCGATAGCCGCCATCACGAACTCCGCAGCGACCTCCCACTCCGGCCGATCCTGGCAGGATCCCCACCGCTTTCTTTGACCAATCAGCGAGAGGGGGCCAGGCTTAACTGCCCACTGGGAACCCTCGAAATAAAGGGGAGCAGCCAATCGGCGGCAAGACGGTGCTGTGCTTCTCACAACATGTAGAGCCACGGTTTCTCTCGGCTGCCTCGCCAGGCTCACGGGAATTCGCTGCCCAAAGGGGCTGAGGAGGATTTGGCGCCATCCTCCTCTACTCCGCTTTCAGCCCGATTCTTCTAGGAGGTTTCATCCATGCTTTTTAAGGCTCCTTTCTTCCACTTACCCCGTAGTCATAGCAAGTAAAGCATTTTTTTCCTAGCATCATTTAAGTTTCAAAAACCGAAAGAGGGAAATTAATCCGGAAAACAGGCAGATTCTCATAAATAGGGATAGGTTTTAATTAACAGCGCCTCCCTACTGACAGCAGAATGTCCCAATGCATTCCTGTGCAGGCTGACTAAAAAAACAACAACCAACAACTTGAAAGTCTTAGCATTTTTTTTCTAATTATTTTGTTTATCCTAAGGCAAACTAATACAGTAAGTATAATTGAATGGTTCTCATAGATGAAGCCTTAGGCAACCTAGGTAATAATTGTAGGCATATCATGCTTCTCTTAGTCCCTGGAAAATCGCTATACACTGTCCTATTTAAAAGACTCCAAAACAAGACTGAATGATGGATACATGAAGAACAAACTGGATTCATTCCTGCAATTAACAGATCTTTTCACTGCAAAGTATCATTAAACAGAGTAAGGAATACCAAAATCAGAGGAGTTAACTTTATTGGCTTTTTAAAAAAACACTTGAGTGTATCAATAGAGAATCATTATGAAACATACTACAAACATACTATAATCCTAGAGATAAGTTAATATCTTTAGAAACTTTTACAACGCTAGGTGCTATGTAAGAACTGAAAATGGCCGTCCTGACTACTTAATACTGGTTTACATGGTTATGTCTTATCCCTGTTATATTTCTCATAACCATTCTGATTAGCATGAAAAAGGCAATGAATAAATTGGACTTTGGCATTACATGGAATAAACAAGGTAAATTGACTTATATTTCACTGATGTCATTGCTTTGCTTGCAAACACTAAGACACAGCTGAAAGATATGACGCTGGCACTTGAAGCAGCTGCAGGTAAAGTGGTCTTAGAAATCAGTGAAGACAAGTCCAAGCAAATGGGAATGTTCAATACAATACCTCAATAACATTAGGACAGGCCTTAAAATTTGTGGAACAATTCAGCTATCTTAGTGATATGATAGATGGAGGAACTGAAGCAGATGTGAAATGCTGAACAGGCAAAGCAACTACTGTCTTCCAACAAATGTGTTCCGTATGGACCACAACCACCCTAAACACAGCAACTAAGATCAGATCATATGATGCCATATAGATACCAACTGCCATTATGCCAGTCAGATTGGAAATCTACAAGAGTTATTCATAAGATCAACATCTTTCAACAACATTGCCTCAGAAGAATTCTTCATATCTCATATTGGGATGACGTCACAAATGAGGAAATTCTACAAATAAATAATTCTTGCAGACTCTGAAACAGTGTCAAAACGAAGAATGGGCTTTACTGGACGCAAGCTCTGCATGAATGAGCATCATCCAACAAAGTCTGCAATCAATTAGATACCACCAGATGGTCAGAGAAGATGAGGAAAGCCTAAGAAAAACTGGTGCCAAATATTTTAGGAAGATCAGAAAAAAAATCAATCTTAAATGGAAGGATGTGAAGACTAGATGCGGAAAGAGAACTGTAGAGTACACCTGTAGCCAATGTGCTTAACAAAAGATGTGATGATGCAGCTTAATAAAATACCTTTCTTTCAGAAACAGAAACTGAAAGTGGATGGTCCAAGTCTTCAAAGATCTTACATATTTTAGAAATATGCTGAAATATTTTCACTTAGATGTTTCACCTAAGATGTTTTCTATACCTTCTTAGAGATTGCCGATGACATAAGTAATTAGAAGTAAAACTTAAAACAAATCAGTAAATTTGTATTGCCATTTATATCAAGAATTTATTCAAAATGTCAACTATACATAAATGCATTATTCCTTGTTTGCTGCCCACTGATACATTAAAATGGCCTGCCAATGGAACAGCTTAAATATTTTATAATATAGTATAGATTGTTCCCCTTATTTTGGAAACAACTTCAGCAATATTTTGTCATCATCCATATTAGCTAGGACTGATGAAAGCTGAACTTCAATCTGAAGAGCCTGCACATGACATATGTAAAGCTCTTCAATCCCGATAAATAGGAGAATAAACATTTCTGTCTGTAAATTAATATTTGGGGACTAACTAGGGTTCTTTTCAGGGACAGAAAACCGAAAGATTGAAAGATGTAAGATAACAGAGTATATCTCACATATTTAGATTAGCTTCTTCCAAAATCATGACAAAACAAAAACATGACAAACAATATTTTTTAAATTCCTCTGGTGTGTACAGTTTAATCTTAAGTTTAGTATCTTCTTACATTTCTAACTATTCTGTAGAATGTGAGTTATTGGTTAAATGATCCATGGTAAACTTAATCTCAACCTAAGTCTATGATGAGTTTAAGAAGTCAACTTCCTGGTTTAAGGCAGCAAGCAGCTCTTCCATTTCTCTATCAAAAGACTGTTGCTCCTGTAAGAAATGGGTCCTCTCCTCCTCTATCTGCTTCCATCTGGTCTGAGCATTCTGTAAAGAAAAAAGGGATGAAGTAGCAATGTCTAACTTATTACAATTGCATTTAATAAATTCTACAGTTGTGAAAATTGATGTACAGGTAATACTCAACTTGACACCAGAATTTTAACTGCTAAGCAAGGGAATTGTTAAATGAATTGCATGCTGTTTTATAATCTTTTTGCCATGGTTGTTAAGTGAATCACATTAAGGTAATGACATAGTTAAACAAATCCAGCTTTCTCTATTGTTAGAATCTGGCTTGGATGGTGATCATGCTACCCCAGAATGTTGTAACCATTGTAAATACTTGTGGATTGCCAATTGCCCAAATTTTGATCACATGGCTCTGATGGTGATAAGTACAAAGACTGGTTGTAAGTCAGTTTTTTCAATGCTGCTGTAACTTTTGAAGAGTTGCTAAATGAATGGCTGTAAGTAGAAGACTACAGGAAATCTCAGAGCTGGAGCAGACTTTTGTCATTTAGTTACTCCCTACTTTGTGCATGAATCCATTGATCTAACCCCCAACAAGGGGTCATCCACCTCCTTTCAAATCTTCCAGGAAAGAAAACGGATGTGTCACATTTTTCTAGGCACATTGTTCTATTAACAGCTGTTACTATCACAAAGTTCTTTCTAGTACAGGATTCAACTTGCGTCTCCTTTAGTTTCAACTTGTAGGTTTTTCTTCTGTCCTTAGTTTCAACAGAACAACTTGTCCCTTCTTACATATAGGTGAAACTCGAAAAATTAGAATATCGTGCAAAAGTTCATTTATTTCAGTAATGCAACTTAAAAGGTGAACCTAATATACTCTATGAGATAGACTCATTACATGCAAAGCAAGATAGTTCAAGCCGTGATGTGTCATAATTGAGATGATTATGGCTTACAGCTCATGGAAACCCCAAATCCACAATCTCAGAAAATTAGAATATTGTGAAAAGGTTCAATATTCTAAGCTCAAAGTGTCCCACTCTAATCAGCTAATGAAGCCACAGCACCTACAAAGGGTTCCTGAGCCTTTAAATGGTCTCTCAGGTTCAGTAGGAATCACAATCATGGGAAAGATTGCTGACCTGACAGTTGTGTAGAAAACCATCATTGATACCCTCCATAAGGAGGGAAAGCCTCAAAAGGTAATTGTAAAAGAAGTTGGATGTTCCCAAAGTGCTTGTATCAAAGCACATTAATAGAAAGTTACATGGAAGGGAAAAGTGTGGAAGAAAAGGGTGCACAAGAAGCAGGGATGACCGCAGCCTGGAGAGGATTGTCAGGAAAAGGCCATTCAAAAGTGTTGGGGACTTTCACAAGGAGTGGACTGAGACTGGAGTCAGTGCTTCAAGAGCCACCACACACAGACGGATCCTGGACATGGGCTTCAAATGTCGTATTCCTCTTGTCAAGCCGCTCCTGAACAACAAATGTCAGAAGCGTTTTACCTGGGCTAAAAAAAACCCAGAACTGACCTCTTGCTCAGTGGTCCAAAGTCCTCTTTTCTGATGAGAGCAACTTTTGCATCTCATTAGGAAACCAAGGTCCCAGAGTCTGGAGGAAGAATGGAGCTGCACACACTGCAAGATGCTTGAAGTCCAGTGTGAAGTTTCCACCGTGTGTTGATTTGGGGAGCCATGTCATCTGCTGGTGTTGGTCCACTGTGCTTTATTAAGTCCAGGGTCAACGCAGCTGTCTACCAGGAGATTTTGGAGCACTTCATGCTTCCTTCTGCAGACAAGCTTTATGGGGATGTTGACTTCATTTTCCAGCAGGACTTGGCACCTGCCCACACTGCCAAAAGCACCAAAACCTGGTTCAATGACTGTGGGATTACTGTGCTTGATCGGCCAGCAAACTTGCCTGACCTGAACCCCATAGAGAATCTATGGGGCATTGCCAAGAGAAAGATGAAAGACATGAGACCGAACAATGCAGAAGAACTGAAGGCCGCTATTGAAGCATCCTGGTCTTCCATAACACCTCAGCAGTGCCACAGGCTGATAGCTTCCATGCCATGTTGCATTGAGGCAGTAATTGCTGTAAAAGGGGCCCAAACCAAGTACTGAGTATATATGCATGCTTCTACTTTTCAGAGGTCCAATATCGTTCTATGTACAATCCTTGTTTTATTGATTGCATGTAATATTCTAATTTTCTGAGATTGTGGATTTGGGGTTTTCATGAGCTGTAAGCCATAATCATCACAATTATGAAAAATCACGGCTTGAACTATCTTGCTTTGCATGTAATGAGTCTATCTTATATATTAGGTTCACCTTTTAA